TGATTATCTGCCTTTTAATGTGTCGTTTGGAATCTCTTGATGCAGGTTTACCGATCCGGATGATAACATAGCTATAAATAGACATTATGCTTTGTATTTTTTTGGAGAATTCCTCATTTTGCTAAATTTTTCTTTTTAGTTTTTTTGCTCTCTTCTCTCTCTAATTTTCTTTCTCTCTCTAAGGGCTCCAAGACCCTATTTTTTTATTGTAATATTTCTCCATCAAGATTACAACTTTTCGGCTTATTTCTTCTCGTGGATGCACTAGGGACTTGGATACTTCGCTTAAGGTTCTTGATTTCGTAAGTCTTGCTCGTCTTTACTTATTGAATTTATTCTAGGGTTAAGATTGGCACGTCCATGAGTCCATTATGCTATCATCCTCGTAGGCTAGGGATTATGCGATACTGTTATTGATTGCGGGAGCGAGAATTGATTGAGAGGTTAATTGATCACGAGTGACTTTTTCTCGGTTGCATATTCCCGAACCTATGAGTGCCTTCTTTCCATCTCGGGTCTAGGAGTACCTTGTTATTTCTCTTTTTATTTTCCTTTTTCTTGCAATTTGAGGACTTGCTTACGATTTATGTTGAATCTTGCTCTCGTTTAGTTTAAAGTTGCTCTCTTTAGTTCATTTCAAACCCCAAATTGCGAGTAGAGTGTTTAAGATTTTTATTTTCTTTTCTTGTGTGAGTCGATCGTTGCTTGAATCCGTGTCCGAATAGCCTTCCTTTGAGAACGACCCGAGTCGGGTACCTCGGTTACCAATTGCCCAAAATTACTACAAACAATTATATTCGCCGATTAATATATTTTTTCATAATAATTTTGTTATATCAAACGTAAAATTTAATTTTTAATGGAACCATAATATATTTTTTCTTATGAATTGACCATACTATTTTACATATATAGATGCAATAGCTAGGTCATACTATGCAATACACATACTACTTTTAATGAAAAAAAAAAATGAAAAATGTATAGAAATTAAAAATATTTTTAAATTGACGAGTCCCTTTTAAGTTTATAAAATCTATCGTTTTGAAAAAAAAAATAAAAATTGCGGGTCACAAATCGAACAGTCCAAACCAATTGTATATTGAATAGTATAATCAAGATCATGATTAGCCTATGGGAATGGGCTTATACATTATTGTTCATTCAAGATTTTTATTTAATAAAATTTGCTCATGGAATACTATAATCAAGATCATGATTAGCCAATAATGGTCATATCTATACTTATATTAAAGGCCATACCATTTACTTAAATTAGTATG